GTTCCTTACTTTCTTAGTTTTTGTATAATGATAAAAACTCTCCTCATTTTTGTTAAAAACATGTCCAGTGTCTGGTTTGTGATCATTTTCAGAGTGTAGTTTCTTTTCAGTTAAACAAAACTTGGAAGATGATGACCAGGAAGAGTCTTCTGGGGACCCAAAGTATGAATACGATGGAAACACATTTTCAAGAGTGGGTTCTTTTCTTTCAAGAAATGTTTGGAATGGTGCAGAGACAGACGTTCCAAATGCATCTTTTTCCTCACAATCAAGTACATTATTTGCCAAATTAGAAGGCATTTGTCTTAAGCTTGCTCCTTCTTTAGAGTTATGTAGTGGCTCTTCCTCAGGACAAACAGTGATGTTGTATTTTTCACCAAACTTCTGCTTTAATTCATTTGTGACAAGTTGTAAATTATTCCTCCATTCTAATTCACCTTGTTTGATCCACATTTCCTCATACTTCTGCATAAAATGATGTCCTAAGTATGTAATATCATCTCTGTTACATTCCCTATTTATTTCTGGATCTTGAGACATTTTTTCCAGATGCAAAAGTGGAAGGTTAGTTTGTTTGCTTTGGTTTTCAGATGTCTTTTCTGTAGAGGTACATGTTTGTGAAATAACTTTACCCTTAAGTAATCGAGTATGGACAAAGAAAAATTAGAATATAATCAAAATTTAACTGTTAGACTTCTTACCTATGTTTAGCTACTCCCAAATAACTAGATTGTAATTAAGAAGTAAAAAATAACTTGCCTTGGTCTAAATTAAAAGAAAAACATGAACCCTCAAACCTAATTCTTTCACTGTCTGAACTGAACAATTTATTAGATGTTAAATCTACCAAAAATAAATTAGTAGATGAATTTTAATGTTATAAAGCCTTCCTCACTTAAAATATTTCACCTCACCATGTCTTAAATAGTGAGTCCCTACAGTGCATTAAAAAAAATTGGGGGGGGTCAGGAGGGAACCCAAGATGGACGCAAAGGGGGTGAAAGTTACACTCACCTCCTCCCAGAACCAAACTGAAAATACAACTAAATTGTGTAACTACCAACCTGAATAACCAACTGAAGAGTAGATGAACAGAAGTTTTATATCCAAGGATTTATAGAAGAAGCCACAGCTAGACTGGTAGGAAGGGCAGCGATGCAAAAAGGGCCGGCCCCACACCCACATGTGGTGGTTGAGAATCCTGAGGGATATCTCAACTGAAGAAGTTCCCCCTGAGGAGTGTGGGTCTCAATCCCATGCTGGGCTCCCCAGCCCCAGAGCACCAGAGCCAGGGAGAGGAGTTCACATAACATCTGGCCGTGAACACCAGCAGGGATTCTATCTTCCAGGAAGAGATGAGAGTCCACTAGAAAACCAGGAGCCCTCTTAAAGGGCCAGCATGCATGTCTCATTCCCATCACTCACTCTGGGCTCATGAAAAAAGGGCAGTTCAGAACAAACCGGAGTCCTGTGAGAAGAGACAGTTCTCTTTGGTTCTGGGAAAAGAGTTGAAGGGACGGCCCCCCAGGGTCCCCTCCCTGTACTGAGTCTCTCTCCCACACTGCCAACAGACACTATCATTCCTGGGTTGAGCACTCCCCTCATTAGGGCATCAACCTGGAGCATACACTAGCCCCACCATCCTGACTCCATGTCACATGTCCTGCCAGATCACACTTGCAAAGGAGTCATCTGCCTGGATGTAGGCTTTCTTAAAGTTCTCTTGAGACGGTCCAGGCAGACTCAGTGAGTGTCAGAGACTGAATGTGTGGCTTTGGGGTGCGGACCATTTTTCCCTCACAGGCCAGACTAGGGCTACCATCCTTGAGCATAGAGCTGTCATCACATGGCCAAATCTTGGTCTTTTGAGGCCTGATGAATTCTGCTGGCCTTATCCAGATGACTCCCTGAGGCTCCACCCAACCAAAGGTCCATGGGTACCCAGAGGGTGATGGCTAACATTGGTGTACCCTGGGACTTTTGCTGAGTGGCCTCACACCCAGCAATAAAGCTGAGTTTGAATCTGTATCAGTGTGGTAAATACCACTTGCACCTACCTGGTGACTCACTGGGAAATTACCTCATGCACCTTCCATATTGCCAGAAGGTTTTTCAGTGATTGAGCCCAACAGAAAGCTGGCAGGTAAAGGTGGATCTCTGAGTGACTTGGGTCTTTTGCTCACCTGCCCCTGGGCTCAGTGCTGGTGGAAGGAGGCATTGGTGTGTAACTTGGCCCTTCCCAGGCACACCTGGGCCCAGCAAAGGCAGCCACTGGATCACTTTGCAGCTCCACACAGGTAGCCTAGGACAAGCCACAGGCAGCGCCTGGCATTGACTTGCACCAGAGTCCCTCCCAAGAAGCTTCACAACCAACACACCCAGCGGGATTCTTCAGAGCATGACCCAATTAGCTTTACAAGCAGAACACTCAAACGGAGATCTTGGCAGGAACCAGACCATGCTGGTGTAAATTACCCAGCATGTGGTCAGCCTTCATATAGCAGCTGGTACACTGTGGTCAGGGTAGATCCTCATAGCATGAAGGTCTACCCCATTCATGAACAGGCCAACAACAATCAAGATTCTACAAAAGGAGGGCTCACATAACACACACAAGTAGCATGTTATGTGAACCCTTCTCGAGCACCTAGCTTAGGTGATCAGAAAGACTGTGCCACTGAGCCCCACAAGACACCTACTACATATGGCCATCATACCAAGACTGGAAGGCATAGCAGATCTACCTAACACTAGAAAAAAATACAGAGAAGCAGCCAAAATTTGGAGACAAAGAATCATGCCTTAAGTGAAAAAAGAGGAGAAATCCCCAGAAAAAGAGCTAAATGAAATGGAGGCAAGATATCTCTACCAGATACAGAATTCAAGACAATGGTTACAAGGATGCTCAAGGAACATAGAACTTCAACAAAGAGACAGCAAGCATGAAAAGGGACAAAGAAACCACAAAACAGAACCAGTCAGAAATAAAGGTTGCAATTCTGAAATGAAGAAAACACACAAGAAGGAATCAACAGCAGATCAGATGAAGCAGAGAATCGAATCATTGATTTAGAAGACAAAGTAGCAGGAAACACCCAATAAGAGCAGCAAAAAGAAAAAAGAATTTTTTAAAAAAAAGAGAGATAGTTTAAGAGACTTCTAGGACAACATGAGTTGTAGCAACATCCGCATCATTATAAACTTATTTGAAGTAATTATAACTTTATAAACTTATTTGAAGTAATAATGACTGAAAACTCCCCTGACCTGGTGAAGAAAAAAGACACACAAGTGAGAGGTGCAAAGAAATTCCCAAACAAGGTGAAACCCAGAGCCTCACACCAAGATGTTTCATAATTAAAATGGCAAAGGTTAAAGACAAAGAAAGAATCTTAGAAGCAGCAAGAGAAAAACAGATAGTTACCTACAAGGAGGCCCCATAGACTTCCAGATGCTTTCTCAATAGAAACATTTCAGGCTCATAGGGATTGGCCCAAAATATTCAAAGTGATGAAAAGGGAAGACCTACAACCAAAACTACTCTACCCAGCAAGGGCTATCATTTAAAATTGAAGGAGAAATAAAGAGCTTCCCAGGTAAGCTAAAGGAGTTTATCACCAACAAACTAGTATTAGAGGAAATGTTAAAGAGACTTCTATATAAAGAAAAAGAAAAAAGGCAGGGGACATAATAATTAAGAATAAATGGCAATAAGTGGGTACCTATCAATAATCACTTTAAATGTAAATGGCTTAAAATACATAGGGTAGAGAATGGATATGAAAACAAGACCCTTACATGTGCTATCTACAAGAGACCTATCTCAGAATGAAAGATACACACAGACTGAAAATAAAGGGATGCAAATGATATTTCATGCATATGCAAACAAAGAGAAAGCCATGGTAGCGATATTTATATCTGACAAAATAAAATTTAAAACAAAGGCTATAACAAGAAACAAAGTATGTAATTACATTATAATGAGATCATCCAACAAGAGGAAATAATCCTTATAAACATTTATGCACCCAACATAGGGGCATCTAAATATATAAAGCAAATACTGAAACAATCATAATAGGAGACTTTGCTACCCCATTGACACCAGTGGATAGATCTTCAAAAAAAAAAAAAAAAAAAAA